CGTCGTTCATTTCTCAGCTACTTGCTGACCCTTGCCGACATCATCCAAAAGTACAGCATTGGTTCTCATATTTATGCCGACAAAACTGCTGTCCTTACCCAGTCTGCCCAAAATGTGACTCCAGACCCACAGCAATGCAGCTGACTCTCAACTGCCCTCTGGGCAATTAGGGATAGGCCATAAAAGCTGACCCAGCCCACATCATGTGAATTAATAAAACAGTCAGCCCCACTCCACCACCAACTCTTCACTCTTCGATTGTTATCAGACTGCTTATCCCACATACAGTGCAGGATGAGCAAAGATTTCCTCTAATTAAAATATTGAGAAGTATGAAGGCACTGTATTCTGATCTCTCTTCAAACATCATTCACTAGCCACCGATACCATCCTTCCTGACAACAGTCTGAGACCATGAGTTTATTTGACCCCAAAATGAGCTTCTGGCCATATCTTCCAGTCACCATGAAGATATATCTCCTTAACAGCTCACCCGCACTGAAACCTCCTCAATCAGGCCTTTGTTACCTCTAGATTTCACTATTTCATCACACAGCTGCCTGGTCTCCCTCAATAAATGAAATTAAATGAAATTATGGCCCCCTGAGCATCCTCAATTTCAATTGTTCTATTGGTGATCATGCTTTTGGTTGCCTGGACTCTGAACACTGCAATCTCCTCCACTTCTTTACATCACTTTCTTCATTTAAAAACTCTCCTAAAAACCTATCTCCTTCTCTCAAGCTTTTAGTCATTTGACCTAGTGTCTTCTTATGGGCCTGATGTCATGTTTTGCATTACAAATCTCCAGTGAAGTACCTTGATATGATTCATTATGGTTAAAGACCATATAAATATGTTACTGTTGTCACAGCGTCATAGACTAATTGAACAGCGGTTTCAATATTGTGTCCGGAAGTCAGGGAGAAATTTTGCAGACCGCAAAAATGACCCAGAGCTTCAGGTTACTACCAATTCAACACACCACTGTGTTCTTTGGCCAACATTTCTGTCTTGGGCCTGCTGTAATGTTCTAGCAAGGTTCAGCGCAAGCTGGAGAAACAGTATCTCATCTTCCGCTTGGGGACTCTCAATATTGAATTCAATAATTTCAGCACCTAAACACTTTCCTTCATGTCAATCATGCACCACATATCTCTGGTCCTGTCATCAAATGGGCTGCTTTCGGTACAGCCAATCCATTTTCACTGAATTATGGTCCCCATTAGCAGCTTACCATTATCCATCCAGTTGTCTGCCTAACTGTCTTTCTGTACCTGTGAGCTCCATTTCCATCTATTCCTTATTCCTTCACCCACCCTCCCCCTCTGTCTTCAGCATATATACCTTCCTTTCCTAGCTACTACCAGATCTGAAGAAGGGTCACTGGACCTGAAATGTTAACTCTATTTTCTCCCCACAGATGCTGCCTGGCCTGCTGAGTTTCTCCAGCAATTTCTGTTTATGTTTCAGATTTTCAGCATTCTCAGTCCTTTGTTTTATTTTATTGATGAAACTCAACTGGAGGGATTCAAATGTGGAGCAGTGGGGAAGATAGGCACAGATTGGGGGGTAGTATTTGGAGTACTTCAGGACTTGGCAAAGTTCCTCTTTTGCTTTAATTGCTTCTCCAAGTTGTTACATTCGCTGTCATTTACCTATATTACGTGAAAGATCTAAATGAAAAAGACACTAATTTGTCAAGACTGCAGTCTTAGGCACATGGGGGATAGTAAAATGTAGGGTATGCAGGGTAGATTGATCTTAAAGGATAATAGGTCGGCACAACATGGTGGGGTCGAAGTGCTGTACTGTTCTATGTTCTATGCTCTAGAGATTAAAATCACCCATGATCTTCCCTGTCCCTTCTCACAGGCCCACGTTATTTCTTCCTGTAATCCCTATCCTACAGCGTGATGACTGTTAGGAGGCCATATACCACTGCCAAAACAACTTTGTACCAACACTTTCCCATCTCTATCCAAACTGTTTCTACATCCTCATGTTGTAAAGACCACATAGTTTAATTTTCTTTATTTTGGATCATGGACAAAAATAGGCTAGAATTACGGTCATCTCTGTCTATTGTACCACTGTCATTCTTAATTAACAGAGCTACCCTTCAGCTGTTTATACCTTTCCAAATATGTACGTACAAACATATGAATTGGGAGCTCAGTTAGGCCAGTTGGCCCCTTAGCCTGCTCACCATTCAAAAATTGGTTGATCTGATTACTGCACATTCCTGCATGCCCCATCCCTCCATCCCATAATCTTCACTCCTTTGCTGATCATGAATCTATCTACCTTTATCTTAAAAATATTTAAAAAACCCTCTTTCCACCCCTTTTGACAAAATTAAGTTCCACATATTCATTACCCGCTGTGAGAAAAGAAAATCTCTTCAACTACATCTTAAATGGATGACCACTAACTTTTGAACGGTGACCCTGGTTCTGATTGTCCTACAAGAGGAAATATCCTTTACACATGAGGATCACCCTCTTGGGACAGTGCGCTGATACTCGAGAGCCTCACTACTCCTGGAGTTGTCACAAAAGTTGAAGGGTGGCACAGTGGTTAGCACTGCTGCCTCACTGCACCAGGGACCCAGGTTCAATTCCACTCGCAGGCGACTCTCTGTGTGGAGTTTGCACACTCTCTCTGTAGCTGTGTGGGTTTCCTATGGGTGCTCTGTTTTCCTCCCACAGTCTAAAGATGTGTAGGTTAGCTGGAATGGCCATGCTAAATTGCCTGTAGTGTTCAGGGATGTATAGATTAGGTGGGGAATTGCAAGGGTAGGGGACTGGGACTGGGTCTGGGGGGGTTGCTCTTTGGAGTTGCGCTGTGGAATTGTTGGGCCAAATGTGGCCTGTTTCCACACTGTAGGGATTCTGTGATTTAATTAAAGTACTCAAAGTCCTCAGTTTACTTTTCTAATGGATCCAAGTTAACCAAAAAACTGGCTAGGTTTCTGTACTGAACAAGAACTACTACTTATTAGACATAAACCAATTCTACTTAGATGCAAACAAATAAATTAGCAACAGGTAACATTAGATAAACCTGTTAAACCCCTTTCTTAAATACCGATATAGACAGGCACAGACAAACAAACAAGCATGGATGTTTTGGGTGGAGGGAAAATACTGACGAAACACAGTTCAAAAGCACCGGTCCATAGGATTTGGTCAGGCATCCTTTTTGCTTTCCCAAGACCTTCTGTTCTCCAACTTATTCATTTCTGAAAAGAATTGAAAGAGTCTGGATGACAGTTGATGAAGTTTTTAGTCACTCGTTAGAGGTAACAGGTGGTAGCAACTGCTGGGAAAGAATAGCTAGTTATCTTCCAGGTTTTGGTTACTTCACTGCGCAGAGAGAGAGAGAGTGAGAGAGAGAGAGACCTTGTTGTTTCTGCAGTCTGGAGACTTCTATAAGGTTCCCCATGGTAGGCTACTGCAGAAAGTAAGGAGGCATGGTATAGAGGGAAATGCGGCAGATTGGATTCAGAATTGGTTGAACCGTAGAAGACAAAGGGCGGTAGTGGACATAAAATATTCAACATGGTGCTCAGTTACGAGTGGTGTATCACAAGGATCAGTTCTGGGTCCTCTTCTATTTGTGATTTTTGTAAATGATTTGGATGTAGGAGTGGAAGGATGGATTAGTAAGTTCGCGGACGATACGAAAGTGGGTTGAGTTGTGGATAGTGCGGAGGGCTGTTCTAGGTTACAAAGGGACATTGACAGGATGCAGAGCTGGGCTGAGAAGTGGCAGATAGAGTTTAACCCTGAAAAGTCTGAGGTGATTCATTTTGGAAGGACAAATTTGAAAGCAGAATACAGGGTTAATGGAAAGATTATTGGCAGTGTGGAGGAGCAGAGGGATCTTGGGGTTCATGTCCACAGTTCCCTGAAAGCTGCCACCCAGGTGGATATAGTTGTTAAGAAGGGGTATGGTGTGTTAGCTTTCATGAATAGAGGGATTGAGTTCAAGAGCCGTGAAGTTATGCTCCAGCTATACAAAAGCCTGGTTCAGCCACATCTGAAGTATTGTGTCCAGTTCTGGTTGTCTCAATACAGAAAAGATGTGGAAGCATTGGAAAAGGTGCAGAGGAGATTTACCAGGATGTTGCCTGGAATGGAGGAAAGGTCTTACAAGGAAAGGTTGAGAGAGCTAGGGCTTTTCTCTTTGGAATGACGAAGGATGAGAGGTGAGATGGCGGGGTGTGGAGCTGGATGAGCACGGCGGGCCGGGCAACGTCGGAGGGGCGGGGGGGCTGATGTTTCGGGCCTGGACCCTTCTTCAGAAATTTTTTTCTGGGGAAGGGTCTAGGCCCGGGGTGTCGGCCTTCCTGCTCCTCTGGCGCTGCTTGGCCTGCTGTGTTCATCCAGCTCTACACCTTGTTATCTCAGATTCTCCAGCATCTGCAGTTCCTACTATCTCTGAAACAAGGATGAGAGGTGACTTGATAGTGGTGTACGAAATGATCAGGGGTATAGATAGAGTGGTCAGCTAGAGACTTTTTCCTAGGGTGGAGGTAGCTATTACGAGGGGACATAGTTTTAAAGTGAGTGGAGGTAGATATAGGGGAGACGTCAGAAGTAGGTTCTTTACTCAGAGAGTGGTAGGGGCGTGGAATGCATTGCCGGAGAGGGTAGTGGAGTCAGCCTCATTAGAGGCATTTAAGTGTCTAGTTGATAGGCATATGGATGATAGCATGAGGTAGGGGTGGAGGTTAGATAGACATTAGGTTTAGGGTAAAAGTTCGGCACAACATCGTGGGCCGAAGGGCCTGTACTGTGCTGTACTGTTCTATGTTCTATTTACTCCAAATGCTGGCAAATGGGACAAGATTAATTTCGGACATTTGGTCAGCATGGATGAGTTGTACTGAAAGGTCTGCTTCCATGCTGTACAACTCTATGACTGTATATAACTCATTTTAATGTTATGTCACAGCTGCACAACTTTAAGTAGGTTACTCCCAACACTTTACATTTTTCCATTGTTGACAGCTTTCACAGCCGCTATTGTTTATTATAAAATCACAAAGCCAGAAGATGATGAGGGTGACTGTTTAGTCCATTTTCTTTAGCTCAGCTGACCGGCACAAACTGACAGTCTTCAGTGTATCCAGCAGTTTATTTAATGATTCCAGCTTTTCTTTCTTCTGTTCTGTAGGTAATGCACTCTATGTGCTGATTACACTGATCATCGGGTAAATCCATAGTGCAAGAATTGGATACCACTTGCAACTGATAATCTGATTCCTGATTTAATCAAAAACTGAAAGACTGGGCAGTTTTACTTGGTGGTCCAGGCATGTGTCCATCTGGAAGGTTCCTGACATGCAGATGTAAAATTATGCAATCTGATGGACTTACCTATTCAACTATGTTTAATTGATATAATTATGTTTGCTCCAAGGCTTGGCGTCATAGATTCTGAACTATATTCAGGCAAGGTGCGTTCATCTCGTTCATTGTAGTTACTGACGGCTGGATTAAACATCAATTCAGGTTTCTCTGCAGTTAGAAAGAACAGTGAGTTGAAAAGGAAAAAAACTGCAAAGCTGTGGTGAAATAACAGAGGAAAGGGTCTTATAGGATAGCCAATGCATAAAAGGCTATGAGCCAAGGGCTGTAAAATGGGATTAGAATAGTTAGGTGGTTGTTTTTGATTGGAGCAGAGCGATGGGCCAAATGACCTTTTATCCATGCTTTAGATCTCTACGACTCTTTCAGGGAGCCAGCACAGATTTAATGGGCTAATGATCCCCTTTTGCACTCTACCATTCTATAATTATCAATCCTCTCTGCGTCCCTGTTACCATTCCCTTTTATCATTATCTCTGATGCTTTCATTTTTATATAAGTAAAATATATCCTTTTCCTTCACTATCCTGCCTTAACTCCTTTCACTGAATAGCTGATCAACGTACATTTATCGACAAAGTATGACTGAAAAGCTGAATTGATAAGTTGCACAATAATTTTGAGACTGATCATTGAGGTTCCTGTTGTTTTGGGAGACCCTAAAGGAGTTGACAGATATCTGAGCTAATTCTCAGGGACGTAAGCAACACGTTTTAAATTATGTACATTTTTACAAATCAAAATTTCCCACAGCCACTGGGTACAGAATAGTAAATGTCTTAAGGCATACTTTCTGTGAAAATGTTTCACTCTGTTTTTGTTATGTCAGCAGAGGTAAACATCTGTATTCAGCAAACATTTTGAAATTACGAATATGGTTAACAAAGTGATATTCACAAGATAATCTTTGATTGTGATGTTGATTGAGGGATAGCTACAAGACAGGACACCAGCAATAACTCCCCTACTCTTCAACAAAATAGTCCCACGGGGTCTTTTATATTCACAGTTTAATATCTCATCCAACAGACAGCTCCTTTGACAATGCACTGTTTCCTCAGAACTGCACTAGAGCATCAGCTTAGTTTTTATGCACTCAAGCCCTAGAATTGTATTTGTTCTCAAGACCTTGTGGTTCATAGATGGGAGTGCTACTACCAGATCCACAGCTGACATACCTTTAGATCTTTACATTCAAAAATGATGCATTCTGAATTAATTAAGAAACTTTTTATATTTCATTCTTGATAGATTTTAATCAAAAATTGTGGGTACATAAGACAAGGTTATGTGTGTTATTGATGATCACAACTTCTCTGAAAATGCCTGTGTCAGTATACCACAGAATCTGAACAGCATCCACCCTTTGGCTCACAAGGATCATAGAGACCTTTTCCAAAACAAGAATGATTGATCATGTTGTCTTGATCCTTAACAGCACCACCTTCTCTAAATCATCCATTATCGGCCTACAGGGCCATATTTACTCTGGAGCTTCTTTTACCTTCTCATGTTTTTGCTGACACATTTCACCCCTTTCCTGGCTTCCCTCAGGCCTCACTGCCAGCTTCCATGCTCTTTCTGCACAGATTCAAATTGTTGTGCTTCACCTTCCTTGTTCAAGTTCTAGGCTGCCATTCTAATCACTGATGACCATGATGCAATACTGAGACCAGTAGTTTTAAGCGAAGATAGCAAGGGATAGGAAGCTGGAGTTGAGGCAGAGATCAGTCACAATGAAAGCTTTTGTTGCTTATGTCAGATTGGGAAAGGACAGACAAGTTTATAGCAGGACTGTACTTGCAGCTGGAGACTGTACACCAGAGAAGACTGAAGGGGTTAAATACCTTCTGTTATGTTTCCAAAATGACTCACAATACTTAAGCACTCATCTGTTGCAAATTTGGCTGAAAAAAGGGTTATATATCTCCTTATCTACCCTAAAGTGTTTGGCACTTAAGGCGGGATGTACTTTTTGACAATGCTTTAACGTGAAGATATGGTGCAGTGATCGTTTCCCTACCTCAACGTCAGAAGCTCCATGTTCAAGCTCCATCTGGCATGAGGTGTACCCTGACATGGCTGAACAGGTTGATTTGAAAACAATAAAGCGACAATTTCTTAATGTTAAGGGGACGTTGGGATGGGGTTGTGGGAATCTTGCGGTTCAGTGGTCATGTTCCTGCCTCTAGGCCAGAAGCTCAGTGTTCAAGTCCCACCTGCCACAACAAGTGTACCCTGGCACATCTGAACAGGTTGACTTAATGAAAGAGAAACATTTTTCAGCCGTTGCGGGGGTGGTTTGTGGCACAGCAGGATGGTCCCTGCTGTAGGCCAGGAGGTCTGGGTTCAACGCCCATCTATCCTGGAGATAAATTCGAACAGGTCAACTGCACAAAAAAGTGTGCTTAGAGATTGCAGGTAAAGCATTGTGTCAATTTCCCTCACCTCTGTTGCACGATTTTGTTTGATCATGTTTGAAGGGAAAGGGGCAAAGCAGGGCATTGAAATGTCCTGCCAGGGTGGAGGGTGGGCCAGTCGATGGGTAGATGTCGGGGTGATGCATGTTGCTGCTGTTCTGGCAGGCACACACTTCCCTCCCCCAATCTCACTCACTCACCCGGGGCTGTTCTCAATCCCTCCCTCCTTCCTTCCTCGGGCCAATTCACTTCCGTCACATCATGGCGACACGGGTTGTACAGGAGGCGAGCAGACACGATTTAACAGCGGAGGACCGAGAGGTAAGGCTCGGAGAGTGTAGCGGAGGAGGGGTAGACAAGGCCTGGTCGAGGCCGGGACATGGCGCGGGGTGGGTGGGGGTAGTGAGTAGGCCCGGGGGGGGAGGGGGAGACGGACGGTATCGGGGCCGCCGGCTCCACATGGAACAAACGTCAAGGAAAC